GAGGCAGGAGGATGCAGGAATTCACCCCCACGAAGTTTTATCCAGGTGGGAGAGTAAAATTCCCACCTTAGGATTGTTTTCCTTTCCCTCTGATCAATATCCTGTGATCCATCCAGGAGTTTCGCTGCTTCCAGTCCAAGCCCTGAGCGCTGTCCCAAGGTTATCTATATCCCACTCCTGGGAATCACGAGGTGATTTCCCACCTGGGAACGATCCACGAGGACCATCCCGCCTCTCCGCGACCCACAAGCTCCGCAATTCCCGTATTCCAAGTGCCAACCGAAGCCTGTCCCAACCACCACAGCAGGGGCTAATCCCCAAAACCGGGCACCGCGGGAATTCCCGGCGGAGCAGCCTGGCGGCCTCCCAGCTCCGACGATGGCGGAGCGGCACCTCCTTCGCTTTTCCAGGGACATATCCCTGCCGGACCCATCGGCTTTGGGGATTTCGCGGCTCCGCATCCGCCAGCCGGGTACCATTCCCTGCGGGGGAAGTCATAAAAACCGGGAGAGGGCGAGAATCCCTGTGTCACACCCACATCCAGCGGCGGCTTCTCCTCCGCCTGCGCCTCCAGGCAGCGAAGCGCCCGCTCCCCTTCCCCAGCCCAGCCCAGCCCCCGATCCCGAAGGACGGGGCGCCGCATCCCGAACGGTGCCATCCTGCCCGGGAGGGTGGCGAGGGGTAGATGGCGCGCCGGGAAGCCCCCGGGAGCGCAGGCCACACGCGGGGGAAGCGCGTCTCCCGTGGGGAATGGCAAACACCAGGTGCCGAGTGGCGGCAGCGCGGACACTCCCCCGATCCTTCCCTTTCCCAATCCTTCCCTTTCCCTGCCCGCGCCCCGCACCTGCCGCGCCGCCATTCCCGAGCTCCGCCCGCCGCTCGCTCCCGTCTCGGCCGCGCCGCCGCCTCCTCCATGGCCTAGGGGTCTCCCCCGGCGGGTCCCCCCGCTCTCCGGGGCCGCCCCGCGCCCGGTGCCCGCCGGGAGCGGCCCACGGGAATGGGAACGGCAGCGCGGGCGCCACCGCGCGGGCGCGCAGGGGAAGTGCGGGGCAGCTCCACCCGGGAATTGCGGCTGGCGCGGGGGGGGCGTGGGAAGAGCCCGGGGAGGAGGGCCGGGAGCGCTGTCAGCGATAGGGGGGTGCGGGGAGAGAGGGGGGACACGGGAGGAACACGGGGGGAATGGGGGGAAATAGGAGGGAACAAAAAGGGGAGGGAGGGGGAAGGGGGGAGGGAATGGCTTCCCACTGCCAGAGGTGGGTTAGATGGGAAGAAATTCCTCCCTGTGAGGGCGGGGAGGGGCTGGAATGGATTTCCCGGGGAAGCTGTGGCTGCCCCATCCCTGGAAGTGTCCAAGGCCCGGTTGGAGCAACCTGGAACAGCGGAAGGTTTAGGGGATGAGCTCTAATGCCACAAACAACCTCCCTCTTTCCCTCTTCCCCAAAACCCTCTCAGGGATGGACACATCCCCTGAGAAGGAGGGCAGGGTTCTCCCCTCGGACACAGAACCCCCCCAACCTCCCAAGCACCACCCAAGGACACAATTTCTCTGCTGCTGCTGAAAAAAACCCGGGGGAAAAAAATAGCTAAAACCCCCCTAAATCCACGTCCCAGAAAAGCTCATCCAGCTGGGAATTGCGGCAGAGCCTCCTTCGACTGGTCTGCGGGGTGATCTCGGCACACCTTGGGAACAAAGCCGCTCTGACAGAGCGGGGAGAACAGGCAGGAAAGGCTTTGAAGCTCCAGATCCGTTTGTACCTCGGCCTTCGTGTCCGGTTCAGGCGGAAAAATCCCACTCACGGCTCATTTTCCGGCCCTTTATCTTCCCAGACAGGTGCGAAGTGGCTCCGGTTTGGATGAAAAGCTGGTGCCAAATACAGCGTTTGGAGACAGCGTTTTATCCTGCAGCACATCGGCGGGAAGGGGCCCCTGGAAGCCCCAAAACCTGGAGCAGAGAGAAGGAAGAACCTCAGGAAAACCAGAAATGATGGTTTGTCAAGGATAATAAAGCAGAGAGAAGCAAAAATTCCGGGAAAACTATAGATGACTATTTTGTTAATGGAAATACGACCAGAAGCCCTTCCAGGCTTTTTAAATGTGGGATACAGCACATCCGAGCCTTTTCCAGAGGTGGGATACAGCCCATCCCAGGTTTTTTAATTGGTGGGACACAGCCCATCCAAGGTTTTTTAAATGGTGGGATACAGCCCATCCAAGGTTTTTTAAATGGTGGGATACAGCCCATCCCAGCCCATCCAAGGCTTTTTAAATGGTGGGATACAGCCCATTCAAGGCTTTTTAAATGGGGGCATACAGCCTATCCCAGCCCATCCAAGGCTTTTCCAGAGGTGGGATGCAGCACATCCCAGCCTGTGCAAGGCTTTTCCACAGACAGGATACAGCTCATCCCAACCCAGATCCTGCTAATTAACGTACCCACATTCCCAGAGACAATTAACTGGATACAGCTCTGACTTTCTGCATTCCAGCAGCTCCTGGTGTCCAGTGCCAACAGAGCGCTGCCGGAATCCAAGGGCCATTCCATATTTCCAGCCCAGCTCCAGCCCCAGAACTCATCCCAGTTACCCTCAGGGCTCTATTTCCAAACTCCTACGTGAAAGTGACATAGTTTACAAACACATTTCGATTGTTTTGGATCAACTGGTTGCCTTGACATTCCCTGAAGTGTGAAGGGAAGGATTTAACTTTCCCTAGAAATTCTGTCTCTACCCCTTGTCCCGAGATGGAAAACAGGGAGCAAAGCACTTGGGTTAATAATTATTTGCCATAAAAAGCTTCAATCCCACCACAAAAGATGGGATCACCAAGCCCCACCCCCCCCTTTATTGCACAACCTCTGGAGCAGAAACACAGATTTAAAAGTTTCCCAACCTGTGTAAAAGAAATGTTTCCCTTCAAATGCCCGGAACACAGAGAGGGACAGGGATCCAGGGCAATCCTACATCTCCAGAGGGAGCCAGAGGAGAATTAGAGCATCCCAGACATCTGTCAGCATATCTCTGTGGATAACCCACAGGTTATCCCTGTGGATAACTCAGATGCAGTAGGACATCACCACCCACTTCCCAAGAAAACCTCCAGAAGCAAGACTGGATTAAGGAATTGCTTTTACTCACCCCTGGATGGATCTGGGCTGTTTGTGCAGGAATAACCTGGGAATATGAGGCCAGGGAGGAGTCTGTGTTGTTTTCCAAGCTGGAGCGTGGCATTCCTCAGGCACATGGCTTGGACTCCCTTGGAATCAGCTCCCAGGGAAAGTCTGGAGCACTGCGGGGAGCCTTAGCAGAGCTCTGGAGATCCCTGTAACATTCCAGGAAGGATGCAATCTGCGGAAACCCCATGCAGCTCTGCTGATCCTGGAAAAAAAAAAAAAAAAAAAAAAAGGCACATGGATCTGAGGGTTAAGGATCCTCCTAAACCTGAAAGCAAAACTCTCCGGGAAACATGGACAAGGGAAAAGGCTCCCAAATATACAAAGCTGGGAGCCCTGGGCTTCCAGAAAGAGCTGGGAACCATGGGAAGCTTTTTATTATTATCCTTACTCCGTTTGGTTTCATTCCCACCACCCCCAGGCACAGCACTTCCCATCTCCCTGCTCCCAAATTCCGCTCCCATTCGCATCCCGGCTGGAGCCAGGCAGTTTGTTCCGTCCAGGATAAGGACCCCTTCTCCTCCTCCATCCCAGCCCTACCAGATTCCCTGGACTGCTCCGTTAGCAATAAACCCACAGGAAAATTGTATGAACAGTTCTCCTTGGAGCAGGAATTCGAACACCCAGGTTATCCCAAATCCCTCCTCTCTCCTGCTCTATCCCAGCAAAACCAGGCTGAGCCCCATCACCCCTGGAGCAGCCACAGGTTGATTCCCAGGGTTAAATTTCCAAGAGGTGACGGCAACCAGTCTTGGAAAGGTGTTTTTGGTGTGCTCATTCCTAGAAGGACAGCAGGATTATCCCAATATTCCCTTCAGAGGGAAAAACCCCAGCACCTCACCCACCATCCCTCACACCCTCGGGAATACCGGCTATTGAATAATTTGGATTGGAAATTTAGATTGGAAAAGCCCTCTAAAATCCAACCATTTTTCCCAGCACTGCCAAGGCTGCCACTAATCCACATTCACAAGTGTCACATCCACAGGGATTTTAAATCTTGCCAGGGATGGGGACTCCACCACTAGAACCTGTCCCAACCCTTTCCAAGGAGAAATTTTCCCTGATACCCAACCTAAACCTCCCCTAGCACAACTTGAGGCTGTTTCCTCCATCCAGCCAACCACATTTCCATGGAAAATTCCCACCAAATCAGGGAAATGCCACACGGATGATGCTGATGCTGGACACAGCCAGAATTTGGGAACTGCTTTCAAAATCCAAAGCCAGATGTACCCCTGGTGCCCACTCCCATTTCACCAAGTGGGAATTGCCTGAGTTTTCTCCCATTCCCATGGTGGCTGTACCTTCCCAACCCTCTTCCCCTTCCCAGGGTGATTCCCACCCCCCAATCCACCAGAGCCATCCTACTCCATCCAAATCATCCCTAAACTGCTCCTCAAATCCTTCCTTCTCCAGCAGATCTCTCCCAAAACCCTTTCTGCCTGATTCCCACCTCCCCTCCATGTTATCCCTGTCTTTTCCACTCCCCACACGGGGATAAAGTTCCAGAGGCCGGGAAGAGCCGCTCCCAAGGGCCCCGCAGGAGCAGCTGCTGGAACCGGCAGAGCTCCAACCTTCCTTAAATCCCGTCATCCCAAGTAAGAGGCTTCTCCAGGCGCTCCCTGTGCTCCCAAAAATCCCCTCCCTTCTCGAGCCGCATCCAGCTTTTCTGCAGATCCTCCAGTGCCAGGATTTGGAGGGGTGTCCCAGACTGCGGTTGCTCCCCAATCCCACCTTCCCCTCGAGCTGCTTGGGGCATTTACAAGCACTGAAAGAGAGTCACAACTCAATTTACAACAGAAGATTAAGGATGTATCAGCCACACAGCTCTAATTAATTACACCACGTGCATTTCAATTGTATCACCTGCAGTGGATAAAACAGAAAATGTAATATATATTCCTGTATTTTACATAGAGTATATAAAATGGAAGATATTCCCATGTTGTGATGTTATATTGCCATAAACTGTAACATGGGATAGTTAATATTGTCCTATTAATGTTATATAATTCCATTACATAATCTCTATTTATAATTCTAATGGATAATCACACATTGGCAGCAGAGCCTATGGAAAGCTGGGAGTGGGACAAGGGATGCTGCTGCTTCCCGTATTCCACATGTTCCCAGTCTCAGGGCACTCCAGGAAGGGTGTTTGATGCCAATCCAGTTCCCACTCAATCCTTGCTCCCCATTCCTGCCTTTCTAGCAATCCAGAATTCACTCCTGTCCCAGTTCCAAACCTGAATCCCTAAAAACCAGTTAATCTTGGGGGGGAGACTTCCCAATCTAAGCCAAACCTGGGGACAGATGATCCAAGACAAGCCAAAAACCCGAATTCCAGCTTGGATTGGCACACCAGGGGTTGAGATCTCCCAAAGGCAGGGCCTCCTTCCTCATGGGATTGGCAAACCTCTGCCAGGAACACGAGGAGAGCAGGCAAAAAATCCTGGAGTAGGTTGGCTTGGAAAGGGCTTAAATCCCATCCAGGGACACCTGCCGCTATCGCAGGTTGCTCCAAGCTCCACCCAACCTGTCCTGGGGCACTTCCAGGGATGGAGCAACCACAGCTTCCACTCAGGAACCAGCTGAGACCCCTTTTCCAGCCCCAAAGCCTCTTTCCTTGCGGGATCCCTCCCTTTTCCCAAGGTTCCCATGCTTTTGGCATATAGTAAACACACACAGATTTCTTGGACTCCACAAAAAAAAAAAAAAGCCTGGAAAGGGTTTCTCCCCCAGGCTGCGCTTGGGAATTCAGCATAGCCCTCTCTCCTCAGGATTCCAAGCACAAACTCCTCTTTCCAGCTGCTTTGCTGAATTTATGCCAGATTTAACTCTGGAAGCCAAGGCTCCAATCAATCCCGCCTTCCCAAGGACATTATCCAGCCTTATCCAAGCTGTGACTCCTCAGCCCAGAAATTTCTCCCCTGGAAAGAGCCATCGCCATGGAAAAGGAACGTTAAATAACAATTCACTGGGATTTCTCACTGTGCCCAGCAAAATTCAGGGAATCTTCCTGCCTGGCAGCTCCAGGTGGCCTCTCTGTCAGGAAACCGGAGTGGATAAAACAGTCAGACAAACTTCTCTTTCCTCAGTTGGAAAAAAAAAAAGGGCATGGAAATGAATCCCAAAGGCTCAGGGGGAGGAATTGCCATCCCACGAGCTCCCCTGAGTCCCAGGGTGCTGTTTGATCCCAGCTCCAGCCCAGCCCTCCCTAATCCCAGGGATAAGGTGGCGTTTTCCTTATCTGCTTCACCCCTGCCCAAATTCCTCCTGCCCGCCCGCCCACCCTTCCGATGACCTTGGCTCCAGCCTCCTCTGGAAGGAGGATCCAGCCCAGGCATGAATCAGGATTTCACAGGGATGTGGGATGAGTTCACCCCCACAGGCAGGACTGGCCTGTTCCCAGGGCTCCGTGGCATTTGCTCGGGTGGCATTGGCACAACTTGCCCGGCACAGCCAGCAAACTGTGGGAGTTCAGCCCAAGGATGTGCCACTTCTCAATTTTCAGGAGCTTCCTGTGATGGGAATGTGGCAGGATCGAGAATTTTACAGTCCGGCTGTGCTATACCTGTCGGTGCTCCAGGGAAGCAGTGCCAGAGTTTGGAGCCTTCTGCCCCTCCCGGGCTCCCGAGTAAGCCTGGAATGTTGCTGTTGGATGCAGGCTCCACAGAGAGGATGGAGGTTGTTGTTCCCTGTGGACCACATCTCCAGACATCAGCCGGATGCAATCGGAGAGCAGCAGCTGGAGCCACTTGGATAATTCCATTAGGTCAAATCCTTCCCTTTCTCTGCTTCTTCAGGATCCTGCTCCTGCCTCTGGAGGCAGCTGGATGAACCAGAGGGTTTCAATGAAGGATTCCTGCTCCTGGCTCCATTCCCACCCCTCCCACCAGGCTCCAGGGCCATTCCCCACTTCCCTCAGACCTCAAAGCCTTTCCTGACCCACTTGGCTCCATCCCAGCTCTGAAGTGCCAGAGGGGGAGGCTCTGCTCCCGCCTGGAGCCTCTGCTTCCTGCTGATATCCTAAGTCCTGGCACTACCTGAGCCCAGCTCCTCCACAAAGCCCTGACACAGGGGTCGGGATCACATCCAGCAGGAAGATGGGAGAGGGACCTCGGAACAAAGCAGAGGTTGCCTTGAGGAGCAATAACCTGGAATAACTATTCTATGGAGAATTTCCCAGTTTTACCTGGCAGAGAGCAGCTCCCTTTTGGACAAGCCCATAAAATGTAGCAGGGAATTTTATCTTAACCTGGAAAAAAAGGAGGACTGAGGGGGGATCTTCCTGCTCTCCACAATTCCCTGGAGAGAGGTTGGAGCCAGGTGGGGGTCTGGATTTTCCCAGGAAACAAGCGACAGGACAAGAAGAAATGACCTTAAGCTGAGCCAGTCTGGATGTCGGGAAATTCCTCCATGGAAAGGGTTGGAACAGGCTCCAGTGGTGGAGTGCCCATCCCTGGGGGATTTAAAAGATGGATGTGGCACTTGGAGACGTGGATTAGTGGTGGCAGAGCTAAGAGTTGGAATCAATGACCTCAGGGTGCTTTTCCAGCCCAAAGGATTCTGTGAAGGGGAAGGACCTGGAAAAGATGAGGCTGGAAAGAAAGAGGCAGCAGGAATGCTAGCAACCCCCCCCATCCAAGAATTCCCGGCATAGGAGGGGAGCCTGCTCCACAATCAGGATTGTGTGCCACAGTGACAGGAGACAGGGAGGATCCAGAGAGCCAGACACAAGGAAAAAGAGGGAAGCAGGAGGGGGTCCGAGGGGTAGAATCTGCCTCAGACACTTCCTAAAGGAGTGAAGGACGAGTGGCTGCCAAGGGAATTGGACAGAGGGCTGGAACTGGGAACTTGGGACTCCTGATGACTCCAAACTCTGTTTTTGGGAGGTGAAAGGGTGGCAGAAACCAAGAGGTGACCTATTCTCCCCTTCCCTCCACCTTCGAGTGCCAGGATAGATCATGTCACAGCGGGAAAGGTCACAGAGGCGGCGGGAGCCAAGATGCATTTGCACTTCTGCCCATCAAGAATTCCCCCCCTTCCAGCCTCTCATCCCGTTCCCCTTCTCCAGAGGCCATAGGCGTCATCCCTGGGTGAGTCCCTGGGACAAAGTCACAGCTGGGAGCGAGGAAAAAGCTCTGGAGTAGCATCTGGCTGTGAATTCCCAGCCACACCGTCTCCGGGATACATTTCCACCTCTCTCTGACATTTCAAACTATCTGAACCTCTTGGCTCCCACTGCCAGCTCTCAAAAAAAGGCTCCCTGCAAGATTGGGGTGGTGGCAGGGCCAGGGCAAAGCAGGGAGAGGGTGGGAATTGCTGCTCCCGGGTCATTCCCGGTGGAAGGGAGAGGTGCCAAGAGCCTGTCAAAGCCTGATGGCACAAACGAGGCTCTGAGTGCAGGAGCTGGAGAGAAAAAAACCCTTGGAAGTGGAGACAAGCAGCACTGGGGGTAGGATTTGAGGGATGAGAGGTCCAATGGGAAGAGCTGTGGTTTTAAGGAATATCTGCCCACTCCGGACTGGCTCCAGGCACCACCATGGGGCAAAATCACCAGGATCCCAAGGACACACTCCAAAATAAACACACACCCTGTGAAAAATAAGGATGTTGTCCCACATTTTTGCTTCCCTCTGCATCCACAAGGAATTCCACGTGCTCCATCCCTTCTGACAGACACCTCAGCCACAGACTTGTCCTGCCAATGAGCTTGGCAAGACCTAGAGAGCCTGGTTTTCCCAATTAAGCTGCTGGAATTACTCATCTCAAAAGCCTCAGATGCTCCCGGTGACACCAATTACACAGAGTCACTGCTTCCTGAGCACATCCCGCGGCACAAAGCAGCTCAAGGTCGAGTGGGAATGATCCAGAACTGAAAGAGGGTGAATTGAGATGGGATACTGGGAAGAAATCCTTCCCTAGAACGGGTTTCCCAGGGAAGCTGCAGCTGCCCCATCCTTGCAAGTGTCCCAGGCCAGGTTGGAAAAGGGTTTGGAGCAACACGGGGTAGCAGGAGGGTTTGGAATGGGATGAGCTTTAATGCCCCTTCCAACCCAATCCAGTCTGGAATTCAGGGACACTTTTAGGAGAAGCACGTTATCCTCCACCCCCTTTTCCCAACAGTCTGTACCTGGATTTTTCCCACTCCCCTTTGGCAGGGAGGAGGCCTCCAACCCTCCCAGTCCCTCTTTTGTGATCCCTGATCCCTTTCACCTTAACTTCAGGAATCTCCTCCCTACATTTTAGGGTTGATTGATGTTCTGGATCCTCCCCTGCTGCTCCTTTGTATCCCCTGCATTCCACAACGCTGGAATTCAGAGACCCCCCATGTGTGGCCATTTCCTATTCCCTTCTCCCTGTTACCTGGGAAAGAATCCTTTTTCTGCCAGTACAACCAGTTGTTGGGATCAGTCACTGCCACCTGTGCTTCCCTCTGCAGCTGCTGGAAGCCAAGGAATTCTTTTCTGGAATGGAATGAGATGATATTTCAAATCCCTTCCATCCCAACCCATTCCAGGATTCCTGCGGCAGAGATTCCACCAGCTCTGGGATTCACAGCACGGACACAGCCACAGAGTCTCTCCTTGAAATGTTTCCTACCTGGATTTTAGGGACACTGACTCATCCTCAGGAGTTCTCCCGCTGCCAGTTGCACTCCGGAGCAGCCAGAAATTCCCACTGCTCCTCCCTGCTGTAATCTCCCAGCTGTGGGGGAACATCCCTGGCTCTGCCATCCCGCTTTTTTCCTTTGCCAGAGGCCCACTGGGATCCCAGGGGTGCGTCTTCATGGCCACGAGCACCCAAAATCCTCCCAGAGCCAGGGAATCTTGGAATAGTTTGGGTGGGAAGGGACCTCAAAGCCCATCCAATTCCAACTCCAACACCTTCCGCTCTCCCCGGTCGCTCCAACCTGACCTTGGACACTTCCAGGGATAAGGCAGCCACAGCTTCCCTTGGAAATCCATTCCAGGGCCTCACCACCTCACAGGGAGGAATGCCTTCCCAATATCCCATTTAACTCACCCTCTGGCAGTGGGAAGCCATTCCCTTTATCCTGGCCCTTCAGGTGCTTTTCCACTCCTTCTCAAACTCTCTTGGAGCTGCTTTTTAGGCCCTGGAAGGGGCTCTGAAGTTTCCCTGGAGCCTTCCCTTCTCCACACTGGACACCCCTGGCCTCTGAGAACCTCCATGTCCTGCTCTGGACTTGCTCCAGCAGTTCCACATCCTCCTCATGCTGAGGATACAGCATTCCAGGGAGAATAGAGGGGGAAAGCCCCTCCCTCCCCCTGCTACCCCTGCCAGGGGAAAAAAATCCTGGGGGAAGAAGGTAGAAGGAAAATCCTACTCCATCCTTAGTGTCCCAAACACACTCGAGGAATAAACTCACCTTCCAATGCACTTCCAGCAGCTCCAGAATCCCAGGCAGGATCCATCCCCACTAGCACAGCAAGACACTCCCTGAGGTTTCCCAAAAAAACCTGCCCTTTCCTCACCCCCCTTTTTATCAGGGCATATCCCACCATTTCCTGCTCCAGTTATGATCCTGATGGGAATCATCTGGGATGGGAATTTCCTGGGATGGGAACTACCTGGGATGGGCAGCACCTGAAGCGGGGGATTGGGGGGGGGTGTGTAACAAACAGGAAAACCTTTTACAAAGGGCAAAACCTAAAAATCTCTGAAATTAAAGGTGATTTCAGGATGTTGGAGCTCTGCTTCCCACTGTTCCCTGTGAGTCCATCCATCCCTGACAATTCCAATGTTTCCACCTCCTTGCTCTCCTTGAAACAGTCAGCCTTTCCCTCCACTCAGGGGTTTCCAAATCCTCTTCCCGGGAAGGCAGAGGCCAATTTTCCAGCCCCGGCCCCACATAGGAGCAGATCCAGAGGCACTAATGAGGGAGCTCATTTATTGTGACCTAAATATTCCATGTGCTCTGCTCCCGTGCCTCAGCACCTCCATAATCCACGGGATATGAGCAGGATTTCTGCAGGGTTGTATCCTGCTTCCCCAGGAGCAGGAAAAAGGCACCCGAGAGCTCCTGCTTCTTTCCACATCCCCTTTTCCTTCTGGGAAGTGGTCCCAATAGGGGCTGGGATTGCTGGATCCCAGCCGTGCTCCAGGACTGGGACAAATCCCTGGGCAAGGAGCGATGGATGGGGTGGCTGCCGTGGAATATTCCAGCACAACCAGCCTCTCTTCCTGCTCTTTCCAGCCCATATCCCTCGGGAAGACACAGCTAATTTAGCCACAGGTTGGGCTCCCTGGGCCAGGAGGGGAGGAGGAGGCAAATGGGATGGGTTGCTAAAAAAAGCTACTGGCAGCTGCTTTTTTTGGAAGGCAGGGATCGATTTTTCCTTGTGGAGCTCCGGCTGGAGGGCAAGCGAGGTGGACGGAGGGGCTGGAGAGCTGGGAGTCCTCCCATTGGCAGCACACTTTGATCAGGTGGGAAGGGGAATGAGGGAAGTGTGACCCAACCACAGGCTCCCAAAATAACCCTGATCCCACTCCCTGCTTCCTTAAATCCATGTGACACTGCTAGGTCCTCTGTGGGGACCGGCAGAGAGGGATTCCTGGATATTTCCACCACTTCAAAGGGCCATTTCCTGTGGAGAAACGGGATTTGGATGTCCCAAAAGTAATGGGAGTACCCAGGAATCCTGCCCTGCCAGTCCTCCAAGGAGGGAGCAGCATCTGGCAGTGCCACAGGGATGTCTGGAAGTAAGGGATTCCTGGATATTCCCCCCACTTTTGAGACATTTTCCATGGAGAAGCAGTAACCTGCTGGGGTGGGGACACAGTGGATATGGAACAATCCATCGGAGCATCCATGGGAAAGGACACAACGCTCTGGAAATGCAACTGCAGCTGCCCTGAGGGTCCTGGATGTTCCCATTCCTCCTCTCTCCCTCTTATTTTCAATACCTGTGTCAGCAAAAGGAAAAATGAAGGAATTGCTGTGATTTTCCGCTCCCTCCTCACTCCCACACCCAGATCCAGGACCGTAGCCCCAAATCCTACTTCACGCGTTAACATCAAGCTTTCCCAGAATTCCCCTCTCCCGGTGTCGCCCCAGGCTCTTTCGGGGTGGTTGGCGACTCTGTGTGGAGCGTGCTTCCCGCTGCTGGGATTCCCACGGGAAGTGAGTCGGGATGCGGCTCTGAACCGTCCCAGGTGACTGCTGGGACAGGGAGAGCCTTGGCCCATCCCGGGGTTCCGTCAGCCCGTGTTTCCCGGGATGGTGGGATGCTCCATGTCCCACGCCCCGGAGCTCTCCCGTGTATCCCAGGACTCTCCCGTGTATCCCGGGGCTGTCCCGTGTATCCCAGGACTCTCCCGTGTATCCCGGGGCTCTCCCGTCGGCCGATCCTGGTAGTTCTCCCCGACAGCCACCAGCAGGAGCTCCAAGACCGCAGGTTCCTATCCCGGGCTCGCGGCGCATCCCACTGCATCCCGGGGCTCCCTCCGTTCCCGGGGCTCCCTCCGTTCCCAGGGCTCCCGGTGCTCCTGGAACATCCCTGTGCTCCCGAGGATCCCGATGTTTCCGGTGCGTCCCCATTCTCCCAGCGCATCCCAGTGCATCCAAGTGTTCCTCTGCTCCCAGCGCATCCCTGTTCTCCCAGTGCATCCCGGTGCTCCCTCTATTCCCAAGGTTCTCAGTGCTCCTGGAGCATCCTTGTGCTCCCGGGGATCCCTACACGACTTGTGCATCCCAGTGTTCCCAGTGCATCCTGGTGCTCCCAGGATCCTAATGTTCCCAGTTCATCCCAGTGCTCCCTGTATTCCCAGAGCTCCCAGTACTCCTGGAGCATCCCTGTGCTCAGTGCATCCTAGTGCTCCCCCTGCTCCCAGTGCTCCCAGCACACCCCAGTGTTTCTCCCAGGAATCCCAGTACTCCCAGTGCATCCCAGGGTTCCTCATGCTCCCATCACATCCTGATGCTCCTGGTGCTCCTGATTCCTCTCAGTCCATTCCAGGGATGCTGGAGGGGGTCCAGGCTGCAGGATCCCAGGAATTCTCTTCCCAGCTCCACTGTCCCACCTCAGGACCCACATCTGCTGTCTTGCTATCCTGTGGAAAACCACCCAGGAAGGGCTGGATTCAGGATGGGGCCTCCGGAAGCTGCTCCAGCTCCTGCCTTGCATTGTTACCGTGGGAGTCCCACATGGATCGTGGCCCATCTCACCCCATCCCGTCCTTTGCCATCCCTTCCCACCCCATCTCGTCCTTTCCCATCCCATCCCACCCCATCCCATCCCATCCCATCCCCTCCACTCTGAGTGTGCTGGCACAAGGGACACACGGGAGCAGCTCCAAAAGGACACCCCCATTCCCACTCCCGTCCATCCCCACCATCCCAGGAATTAATCCCTGTCCTCTGCCCACCTTGCCAGGTGGGAGGAGGGCAGGACACCCATCCCAGACTCCCAGGGATGGATCTCCACCCCATTCCTGGTGGGGATCACGATGGCGGCCGGAGGCGTTGGATCTTCCCTGGCTCCACCAGTGAATCCATTCTAAATCCAGCTCCGGGATTGGGGTGGGAGGATTTGCGTCACTCGGCTGAGGAGGGGGATCCCGGTGGGATGAGTCACGTAAGGAGGAGTTCCCTGGATTGGGATGGGGCCCACGGCAGCTCCAGAGGGGTGGGAGACTCAGGATGAGGATGGAAGAAAGGGGCAGAAGGGCCTTTCCTGGCTGCAATTCCTGTGCCTTCTCCTACCCCTTCTGGCAGCTCCCGGGGATGGGGAGAGCCCATGGAGCCCAGCAGGGCCTTAGTGCTCCCCTCTGCACTTCCCAGTAAGAAGAACCTGCTCTGGGGTGTGTTCCTGCTGGACATGAGACAGCAGAGGATCATCCACACTTGGAGCCCCAAAACATCAGCACTAGATGAGGAAACCCTGTCTGGAGCTCCTTGGAGGAGCACTTGGAAATTCCACCCCATATCCCATCCCATCCTATTCTTTCTCATCCCATCCCATTATTTTTTCATCCTATCCTATCCTATCCTATCCTATCCTATCCTATCCTATCCTATCCTATCCTATCCTGTCCTATCCCATCCCATCCCATTCCTTCCAGTCCCTACCCCACCCCCTCCCATTCCATTCCTTCCCATCCTCACCCCACCCCATCCTATCCCATTCCTTCCTATTCTTCCTTATCCCTCCCCATCCCATCTCATCCATTTCCACCTGTTCCTATCCCTTCCCACCCAATTCCTACCCCATATCCCATCCCTCCTCCCCTTCCCTCAGATCCCCCTATCACAACAGTGACAAACACCCCCCACCCATAGGGATGGCTTCAGAATCTCCAGAATTCCAGGACCCCCCCCTGCTCATTCCCAGCTCCTGGAGAGGAACTGGGAAGAGCGACAGGCCCCGCTGGAGCCACAGATCCCCATCCCGGCCCATTCTCAAAATATCCTCAAGGATCACACATCCAGGGACGGCAGCAGGTGCTTGGCAGCGCTGGCATGATCCTCCAGCCTCCAAAATCCTTTTTGGGAATTCAGGCAGCCTCCTGCGCCAGGGAACAGCTCCATATCCATGCGGGAATAACAGGTGGGGGCAGGAGGTGCCAGGAGCGGGTTCATCATCCTGAAGCTCCCCCACCGGGTTGGGAATTGCTTTCCCACTCTGCACTGGAGCATCGGGAAGCCCATCTGGTGCTCTCCATGCCAGGAACAAGGGAATTTGTGGAGCACAGTGCCAGACATCTGCTCCCAGCCTCGGGAACCGCGGGAATGGGATGGGAGCGGCAGTGGAGCATGACGCCGGAGCTGCCGGCTGCTGGGAGCGTGCCGGGAGTTAATAATCCCAACATCTGCCAGCAGCTGGCATGGAGCCGGAGCCGGAGCTCTCCCTGTCCAACACACCACATTCCTTGGATGGCTGGTGGGTTTGGATGAGGGATGCAACTGGAAAGCACGTGCGGAGCAGAACCGGCCTTTTCCAGCGTTGCCATTCCCGCTGCAGGGCACAAATCCTCCCCCTTCCACCGGAGGCTCCAGTGATGGAATCAACTGGGATTGGGATTGTTGCATCTCCCAGGTGGAGAGGGCGGGATGGAGCTTCCACTGCCCTGTGAGGCTGTGGGAAGGGCAATTCCATGTCTGAGTTAGTGGAAGGTGTCCCTGCCCATGGCAGGGAGTGGGACTGGATGAGCTTTAAGGCCCTTTCCAACACAAGCCATTCCTGAATTCCATGCTCTTCCAGCTTCCATTGAGAAACTGGACCTTTCCAAGCAGTTGGAGATCCTGGAATCCTGGAATGGTTGGGGTTGGAAGCTACCTTAAGGCTCATCCTCATCCCTGATTCCATGGGAGCTGTTGGAGGGCTTTGGCACAAGATGTTCCCAATAACCCCATGTTGTTCCCTGGCTATTATTCCTTTCTCCCAGCCTTTAGTGCCTCCACTCCAGGCTGGGAATGTCAGGTGAATTCTCACCTTGGCTATTCCCATAACTGGGATGAAGTCCCCCCCTTCTCCCTGCTTTTCCCTGCCCCACAGATCCTGGCTTTCTGAATCCATCCCAGGCTGGTGCCAGAGGGTTTTCCTGCTGGGATCTGTTCCAGCTCTGGCAGGGACACGGCTTATCCCGGACTTTGCTCCAACACCTGCGGCAGAAGGGAGATGTTTGGATTACAAGCGGATGTGGCCACGGATCATCATCCCTGTGACGCTGCCTTTCCACCTCTGGCTTGGCAGGAATTCCCTTCATGCTCCACAGCTTTTCCTGAGCTCTTTTTGCAGCTGGATACAGCTTTTTTTTGGGATATTCCTGTCTCCCTTCCCAGCTTGAGCTGATGGGGTCCTGTGGGATATTCCCTGGGATTCCAGGTTTTGGTGCCTATTGGATGGGGATGGATTGCAGGTTGGGCATGGCTGTGTCTTGGCATCACCCTGGGACTCAGATTTTTCTAGCTGGGATCTTCTTCAGAGGTTTTTCTTCCCATGGCTGCTCCTGCCCACCCTGTTGCTGCTTCCAGAGGGAAAATCCAGGGTTCCCTGGCCTCTCCTGAGCCTTTGGAGGGAAGGTTCACCCCAAAATGTGTCCAGGGGATGCAGGGAGTCTGTGGTGGTTCCACGCGGATTCCTGCATGTGGGAGAAATCCACAGAGTTGCTCAAATTTCTCTCTGATTTTGGGGCAGATCCTTCATTTTCTCTCTCTATCCTATTTTTCCCGAGTTTTCCTAATCCCACATGACCTCATTGCAGCCCTCCCAGCTCTCGCTCACTCCCACCCACCCACCCACCCATCCACCCACCCGTCCATCCATCCATGGCAGGAACTACTTATCCCTAACTGTGCAATTACCTGGCAGGACCTGCCTTTCCATGCCTCCAAAAAAAACCCCAGAGAGGTTCTTTGGGAGCTCCAAGGGAGCCTAATTGCACTAATTGCCCAGCTAATCGAGGTCACGGCTCCATATGGAGCCATTGCCGCAGATTATCCGACATCAGGACGCGGAGAGCGAAGGCCTCAGATGTGCTGAGAGCTCCTGGCTCCGTGTGGGCAGAGCCGGAGGAGCACTTTGGAATGGGCAGGAAGGGCAGTGGTTGAGTGTCCAAGGGCAGCTCCCGCTCCCAGCTCTGCCTTTCCCGGGCATCGACCGCCGGAGCTCATGAAAAAAAGATGATCCCAGCGCTGGAGGGCTGGGAAAGCAGCAGGAAGAGGGAAAGCGCTCCCGGGTTGTCCCCCAGGAGAGTGGGAATGCCGCAGGCACCTGCTGTCAGCATTCCCAGGTTCTCTGGGTCCAGCATTCTGGGCAGTGGGAGGACACATCATTCCCATCCTTCCCAAAGCCCTTCCTGGCTGGTTCCAGCCTTCCAAAGGCCCTGGGACTCTGGGAGTGGGGCCCTGCTGAGTCAGGGATGGAGCAAGTGCTCAATCAATCCGAAACCTGATCCCAAACCGGCTGCAGAGAAGGACCCGGCTTTGGGCTGCCAGGAAGGACAGGCCCTCCTCTCCTGTCAGGTTTTGGGGAGGCAGGATCCATGGATCCCAGACCGGGATCTCTGGAGTGTCCCTGCCTCCCATGGGCTCAGGGCCAGCAAGAAGAATCCAAGCCCTGTGGAGCAGCCTCGGATCTCATCTCAGCTGCTGAGCAGCTGCTCTCCTGGGCAAAGTCCACTTGGAGACCTTCGGCCTCCACCTGCTACCTTTCCTGGCTTTTCCATGGAGATTTCCAGGCACCTGGCGGCCCAGCAGCTTTCCTGTCGGCTCCAAGAGCCAGGCTGGCCATCCCTGTGGAGCTGGGTGCTATCCTGGTGCTCCTATTGTTTCCAGGAGAGTGGAGAGCTCTGCCAGAAGGATTCTTTAGCCCAAATCACTCCCCAAAAAAACAAGGAGCATTGGGAAGCTATGGGATATAAACACCTCAGACTGGGATCAGCTGGCAGTGAGGAGGAGGGAGGAGGGAGCAGGAAGAGAGGGAATATGGGATATTCCCTGTGGCCACCCTGGCTTGTGTCTCTCCAGCCACTCCATCTCCAGCATTCCACATAATCCATGTTTCTTGCCCCAGTCCTCTGTCCTTTTAATATTTTCTCGACCTGGGAGAGGAGCAGGAATAAATTCCTTGGATGCAGAGCACAGCTCTGGTGAAAGGGCTGGATAAAATAACAGGGAGATGTGGAGAGGGCAAACAGCACCGGCCACGCTGGGAGTGTCACTCCAGGCCTCTGGAAAATGTGGCGCCGGGCAGCTGTGCCACATGGCGGCTGCTCCCTCCCTAATTAAAACACACGGAAGAGGCTCCATCGCTACTGGGATGATTATTCCTGAGGGAGAGCCCTGGTTGGGGGTCTGCCGTGCTCCCTGCTTCCCACCGGTGAATTCCCAGCCTTCCATGAGGATCCACTACGGATCACCTGCTCCGCTCCCACACGGGTCAGCAAGCTTGCCCGGCATTTATCCACTGGGATAATTCATCTGAGGATCCAGATTCTCCCAACATTGCAGGCGAGCCGGGATGATCCTGCTGAGCCACCAGACCGGTTTTCCCTGTGTGGTGTTTTCCCAGAGAAGACAAAGAAAGAAAAGGTTCTCCTTGTTGGGTGGGGAGGGAGAAGAGGGAATATCCATGTTCTTCCTAAAATAAAAGGGAAAACCAGAAGAAAGGAGTGGAAAACTCTTTTTGGAGTAGCCATAGCATGCAGGAGCTGAAAATTCCAGTTTGGCAGTAGCATGTACCTTTTCCAGGGAGTCCTGAGTGGTCATATCCTGGAAAAACAATTGTGGGATGAGCTGGTGGAGCTCTGGGATGTGGGAGTGACAATCTGTGGATTCCCAAGCCGTGCTTGGAAGCTGGGGCTGTTCTCCATAGCTCCAGGGTCCAGCTTTGGGGAGCAGGGAGGAGCATCCCAGTCTTGGGAGACACGGGAGCACCTTCCTTCCCAGTGGCCAGGGCAGAAGGAACACACTGGAATGGGATTCGGGGTGCCCAGGGATTTGGGAATGCAGGGGTCCAGTTGCACAGGGGTTTGAGATGGGAGGGGTTGGGATGCCCAGGAATTTGGGATATCCAGAAGGTTGGGATGACAAGGGTTCTGTTACCAGGGATTGGATACACGCAGGGATTTGGGATGGCAGGGATCTGGTTGTCCAGGAATTTGGAATACCCAGGAACTTGGGGTACCCAGGGATTTGAGGTATTCAGAGTTGGAATGGCAGAGGTTTGGTTACACATGGAGGGGATGTACCCAGGGATTTAGGATGGCAGTGGCCCTGTTATCTAGGGATTTGGGATGGCAGGTGTTCCAATTGCTCTGGGATTTGGGATACAGAGGCCCAGATGCCTGGGTATTTGGGGTACCTGGAGTTTGGAATGGCAGGCATTTGGTTATCCAGGGATTGGATGTACCCAGGAATTTGGAATGGAAGGGGTTCCAGTTGCCAAGGGATTCCAGACCCAGAGGTTGGAATGGCAGGGGTTTGGTTACCAAAGGCTTGGAGGCACCCAGGGATTTGGGATGGCAGTGGTCCTTTTTTCCAGGGATTTGGGGTACCAAGGGATTTTGGATA